TGGTCTCTGAGCAGTGTTTTGCTGATTCGTGATGCCATGCATTTTACTTTAAGGGCTTGCTCACATTTCCACTTGTCTCATGCCTAGAAAGCATGAGTCCAAGTGGTTTTCTGCTTGCCCCGTGCTTCCTTGGCATGGCTCTGAGCGGTTTTGCCTTTGCCCTGCTGCTTTCCCATTGAAAACAGACTCTTTAGCACTAAATCAGAACAAACAGCAGTTGGGGAAACCGGGGGAAAGTGGTGGAGCAAAGGGAGGTTTGGATGAGCCCTAAATCAGAACCTTTTGCCTGCCAGGTGCTGCTGGACTACAACTCCCCTCATCCCTGGCAACTGACCCTGCTGTCTGGGGTGATGGGAATTGGAGTCCAGCCACATCAGGAAGGCCACAGGTCCCCTGCCTCGTCTTCCCCATCCTCCTCCTCCTCCTTCTCTACAGGAGCTATTAAGGGCACCTCCTGCATAGCTGTTCATATCAAACTAGCAGTCTCTTTTATACTGAGACATTGTTCCTGGTACGGATGGGCAAATCTGTCAATTTCAGTTTCACCAATTTCTAATTTCCCCACTCTTAAGACCAGCTCTCCATATTTCAGCAGTGCAGAACTGGCCCAGGTGCTTTTGTAAGAGATCAATCTTTTGGTGTGGCAGCACTCATACTTTGGAACTTCGTTGACATCCGGCAGGTGCCTTCACTGTACTCTTTTCAGCATCTGCTATAAACATTTTTCTTTAGGCCAGCCTATTCATTCATGTAGAATGTGGACATGAGCTCATGGGCTTTAGCTTAGCATTGATTTTAATTTTAAAAAATGTTTTAAACAGCTGTTTTTTCTGTTCTCTCTCTTTATTGATGATTTCCTTGTTTTATTCTTTTAGTAAACTGCTTTAAGTTTTTTTAAAGTAAGCTGCATATAAATTTATTTTCTTTTCCAAGAAATGTCTTTTCTTTTCCAATATTCACATTTTCGTGTGCAATTTTGCCTCATATGTAGACATCTCTGCAAAGCAAATTTCCCCCAAATGCATTTAGGTGTGTTATTTGCACTAAAGCATGCATTTTAATGCACATTTTAGCCTAGTCTATGCATTTTTGTACATATTATGAACTACATACAAACTGAACCTAATTTCTCCCTTTGTTCCTCATTACAGCTTCCACTTATACCATCTAAACACCTACCATTGAAGCCAGGAGCCATGATGGCTGCTGCAGAAGGCTGCCTCACTGGAACAGAATTGTGAAGCAAAGGGATTCCCTCAAAGACCTGTGGGCATGAAAGAAGAAAACAGAGGTGCTGCAGAGCATTTGAGAATCTGTTGCATGTATCTGTTGAAAAAAATCAGTGTTTTTATAATGCTGCACAGCTACAATCAGTGATGATGTTCCCTCACTATTGAGGACTAGCCCTTGTCTTTTCCCCCAGAATCTTTCCACATTTGTTTTAATGCCGAATCTTCCTTTCTGAACCATCAGAGCTGGGTTAGCTAGAAAAACATCTACCCTGATTTTAACAAGGGGTGGGGGGAGAAGAGGTGCTTACCTTGCTGGGAGCCAAGGTCTGTAGAAATGTGCTTACTTGGGTTGGCATTTTAAAATGCTTCTGTGCCTCCGAGGATATGTATTCACCAAAGGCTCTCAGATCCAGCAATCCACACCGTGGGGGTTCTGTTGTCACAGATAATGAAAAGGGAATAATTAACATAAGAAAATACGAAGAGCCTGCTGGATCAGGACAGTGGCCCATCTAGGACATCATCCTGTCCTCACAGTGGCCGACCAGGTGAGATAAATCTAGCTTAATATCGTCTACATCAGGGGTTGTCAACCTGGTCCCTACCACCCACTAGTGGGTGTTTCAGGATTCTAGGTAGGCGGTAGGGGGTGCTACGGCACAAGCTGAAACTTCCTTACATCAAGCACTGGTAGGGAGTAAGGAAATCTTACCATGAAGAAAAATGCATTAGTGGGCGGTAGGTATAAAAAGGTTGACTACCCCTGGTCTGGGACACAGGTGGCGCTGTGGGTTAAACCACAGAGCCTAGGACTTGCCGATCAGAAGGTCAGCGGTTCGAATACCTGTGACGGGGTGAGCTCCCGTTACTCAGTCCCTGCTCCTGCCAACCTAGCAATTTGAAAGCACACCAGCACAAGTAGATAAATAGGTACCGCTCCAGTGGGGAGGTAAACAGCGTTTCCGTGAGCTGCTCTGGTTCGCCAGAAGCGGCTTAGTCATGCTGGCCACATGACCCGGAAGCTGTACGCCAGCTCCCTTGGCCAGTAAAGTGAGATGAGCGCCGCAACCCCAGAGTTGGTCACAACTGGACCTAATGGTCAGGGGTCCCTTTACCTTTACCTTACCCCTGGTCTACATTGACAATGGCTGTCCAAGCTTTAAGGCAAGGGCCTCTCCAAGCTGCATTTGGAGATGCTGAGACTTGATCTCGGGACCTTCTGCATGCAGAGCACATGCTCTGCCACCGAGACAGGCTCCTTCCTCAAGCATTTCTAGGGGTCTACCCTAAACAACCCTGTTTGTGATGTACCCTCCAACATTTATCTGATGAAACGGGGATATCCTAAGGAAAAGCAGGACATTCTGGGATCAAATCAGAAACCGGGACGGCTTCTGCAAATCCTGGACTGCCCCTGGAAAATTGGAGAGTCTGTGACTGACGCTAGGGTGGTCACAGAAGTGTCACTAGGGAACCAAACAGTGCATATTTGCACAATCTAAACGGAGACACAATGCATCTCACCCTAGTGGGGAAGATGGTGAGCAGGTGACTCGTGTTGTTGGGGTCTGCTAATCAGGCCCAAGTTGCCTTGGTCACTGAAAAGCCAATAATTGCTATAGACAGAGGAGATTCCCATAATCACCCGTTTATTCAGCTGAGTAAAACAGAGCAGGCGAGCCACACTCACCAGTGTGATGGTGAAGCCTCTCCAAATAGCCTTTTTATAGGCACCCCCCTCCCTTTCCCCCTATCAAAGTTCCTTGCGCTGATCAAAACACCCTGCCCTCAAGGTCTTGAAGGGGAGAGTTGCCTGGCAGAGGGAGGTTTTGCTGAAAATCGCCTAGCAACTTCATCTGGTCTTCACATATTTGTGGCTCGCCCTCCTAAATCCTAAAGCAGGCAGGTTTTTTTACAGAAGCAAAATGGCATCAGTTAGGCTAACCAAAAAAACAGGACAAGGCCTCTGTGACTTTTCCTGAGACCCCACAGTGTGCCTCCTCACTCTGCTCTGCTGGTGCTCACTGGGTGTGGGCAAATTTGAGGCCCCTTTTTTCTCTCCTTCCTTGGGATTATTTATCTTTAAACTGCTCTTGGGCCAGGCAGCCCTTCAAAGAGAGAACCCATCAGATGGAGAGAGTTGTCCTCTGTACAGTAAGACACACTGCCACACTGGCAGGTTCATGTGGACGTAGGCCAGGGCTGGCCCATCCATGAGGCGAGGTGAAGCTGTGGGGAGCAGTTGGGAGAGGTGTTCTGTGCTGCTCAGTTTGTATATGTGCCTGAATAAAACTGTATATCCTAAAGACACCACTGTCTCCGCTGAGCCTCATTCCAAGGGAACCAAACCCTGGGCAAGTGTTGGTATCCAGTGAATACAATTGGCACTGTTGCTTTCAGTCCACAGAAAACACATTCTTGATTATGTCGTTCCCTATTTGCAGTGTGTTTCCTTTGCATGGAAACGAATGGGGTGAAATAACATAACGATGATGCCATTTGTGGAAATATGTAAATTACATTAAGTGTGTGATTTTGCCGCAGTGGACAGTGGGTTTTTTGTTTTTTTTGTTTTGGAAGATGATCTGCAGCAGAATGGAAACAGTGCTCACTTTCAAATCCCCACTCAACCATTAAACTCACTGGGTGATATTGGGGTCAGTCGCTCGCTCTCAGCCTAACCTACCTCACAGGTTCAGGTAGGTAGCCGTGTTGGTCTGACGCAGTCGAAATAAATAATTTTTTTTTTTTAATGTCCAGCTTATACCCAGAACAAACTTAGTTAGTCTCTAAGGTGCTACCGGACAATTTTAAAATTTTTTAAAATTTATTTCTACCTCACAGGGTTGATGTTAGGAGAAAATGGGGGATGGGAGGAGGACTATGTACGCCACCTTGAGCTCCTTGGAGGAAAGGTGGGATATAAATATTATAAATAAATGCATGTGAAATACAGAGTAAAGTGGAAAACAATGGCTTCTCACATCCCTAGTAGCAGCCATTGCTTTAAGAAATACCTTGACTGAAATTTGGATAATGGACAGATGTAAATGTTTCGGCAGTCAGATCCAGCTGCTGGCCTCTGCTCAGATAATGCACACTAGGAGAACAGCAGGCTCGTAAGAGATGCAAAGGACTTAACTTCTTGCAGTGTTTATTTTTTAACCTGTTCCCAGAGGAACTGTCCCTCAGCTACTGCTATGTAAAGCACAATGTGGGGTATCATTAAAAGTTAGCTGTAGTTTTTTTTCTAGTAAAGGACCTGTTTAACTTTCAGATGTGGTGCCTGGGGCCTTATTATTGTCTCCCAGCTTTCTTTAAAATGCTTCAGGGGGGAATTCCTTATTAAGATACGTTTGAGACTGATTTTCTAGTCTCCGGTGCATTCCAAGCTCAAAACCATCCCTCTGGCTTTTGGTTAGCTCAAAACCAAAATAACTATATACATGGGAGACTTTGCTTTGTTTTTGTTTTAGTGTCAAGAAAAGCAACATTATGTCTTCTAAACATACATTTTCCCTGTGTTCTGAATAGCTGACGGGGGGTGGGGGGTGGGAATCACACATGCACACTTTAGCGGGGCTTGTTTCATATTGTCACAAAGGTTGCACCACCCCTAACATCTACTGAGTGGTAGCAAGATTCCAGGGGGTTCTTCATGCTTCCATTAGGAATCAAAGCACAGCAGAGACTGTCATGTCTTTAAGAAATATGGTTTATTAACACACTTTTACATCTTGAGTGTAGATGCAATGCAGACTTAAACAATGCCTGTTGGGGTCTTGAACCAAAAATCGTAATCAACCATGGCAGAAACCTGAGCATCCAGGTGGAAAGACGACAAGTCAGATCTTAGGGTACTTGAAAATGCAGTTTATTGCAAAAATAGATAGAGTAAGTACATGGGTGGCACATTCAGATGGAAATGGCAATTATTTGGTTAAAACTATAGAGAAGGCAGAATATATGGAAGACTGGGAGAAGCAGGATAGCACACGGTGCCAAAGGAAGGAACAATGCAAATGGAGCCAGAAAGACAAGCGAGGAGCCTAATTAGATTGGATAAAAGAGATTAAAAGGTAAGTGATGCCTAGGCTAGGTGTGGATGAAGCTGTCCGTCTGAGGCCACATCTGCACCAGACATTTAGAACACAAACCTCTGTGCCGAAGCCTCTGACTTTCACGTGGATGGAATGCAGCCTACTGTACAAAAGTTAAGAGTCGCATCTGTTGTGGCACTCACTTTTTGCCTCTGGCCCCACCCACACCATTGGTATGTGGTCCTTGGCTTGAATAAATTTACTTAAGTTGTGTTCCATTGTGCACAACAGAACCTGCACACCACTCATTCCCTTAAAACTGCAGCACCGTGTGTTTTCAGTGTCCCTAAATGCTTAGCTTTGGAGCATGCCATGGCTAAACAGCTCCCCTTTTGTGCTCATTGGGCGACTCTAGGACAATGGAGACAGAGACCCTGCTGCAGAAATTGTCGTCTTTGGCGATCACTCGCAGCTGAGTAAGATTGTCTTCCAAAAACACGGTTTTAACAATGAGTCTGTAAGTGACTATGGAGGCCAATTCTGGATCCACACATCCTTCCACAGTGGTGACATTGGTTTCCGGGCAGGAGTTGATCACGGTGTGGATTTGCCAAGCATGCCTCCCTCTTAGCACGTTTCTCCCTTGCTTCCTGAGCGTGAGTGTTCTTACACAAATTTCTTACAGAAATTGCATGAGGTCTTCAATCCCAAAGATCCTGGGCCAGCACATCACTGCCCCTGCCCCATGCTGGAGAGACAGTTCAAGAAGACGGTGAGTCTCCTTCCCGTCCTAATGAGGGAGCAGTACAGCACCCCACAATATGAATATGATTTTTTCCAGTGCCCTGGTTGAGAGCACAGTCATGTTGACTAGCACCCAAAATGTACCTAGAGAGAAGAGCGACAGGTCCTGCATTGCATAATAAAGACAGAAAGTTAAGCTCAGCTGCATAAGAAGAAAGAAGCACGAAAGCATCAGAACCCGTAGTGGAGAAATCCTCCAATCGCTCCTACGGCCACGGCGGTGTTGTGAGATGCGCATTCACCTGCAAGGAAATGAGACTTTTGGTTATCAAAGGGAAGAGACAGTCGTAATTTAAACTGGGGGTGGGGAACTTTTGGCCCTCCTGTTGTTGCTTAACTACAGCTCCCATCAGCACCGGGAAGCATGGCCAAGGCCAAAGGATGCTTGGAGTTCTATTTTAGCAAATTCTGGGAAGGTTCCCACAAACTATATAGTCTCAACAATGGGCTCTGTAATTTATAGGTTTCTTACAAACATGGAACGAGTGTTATGTGGCACTTGTAATGGTGCCAGTTTTGCAGCTCAAAGCCGTTAAGCGGACACATACAGGGTAAGGCAATCTCACAGATAAACTGTTCCCAAGTTGTTATGGTCTTCATATACTAATAGGAACAGCTTGAACTTTGCCTGGTAGCAAATTGGTAGCCAATGCAGGTCTCTGAACAAAGACGTACTTTGTGGCATATCCATTGAAATCAATGGATCCGATGGGTCTACTCTGTGGGTGACTCTGTACATTATTTTTAAAATGTGTGATAGGTTGGGAAACAATTTTTATCTATGCACCCACACCAATTGCCATTATCTTTACCTTCAAGAATCTTCTCCGTTCTCTTTACTCTTCGTGCTTCCTTATGATGGTCTTCAGAAACTGGGCTGGAGGAGTCTAACAGGTCACCGAGAAAGAAAGAGTCATTTGCTTGAAGGCAGAGGATGTGCTTTAGAATGTGGGTCCTCATTCACTCACAAACTTACAAGGCAAACTGTGCATGTTACTCAGTGGGATTTCCCACTCAGCTTGATGGGACTTACAGAGTAATCATAGACACATCTACTCCGAAGTAAGTCTTGTTATCTTCCATAGGGTTTACTCCAAGGTAAGAGGGTATAGGATCGTAGCCTTATCCTTTACCAACAGTGCAATCCAAACCCAAGATCTGCCAAGATGAGAGTTTGGATCTGGCAGTTCTTGGACTTTCCCAGCTTGGGTACCTTACGCCGGTTGAGCCAGAGATACACCAGGGTAAGTCCCTCAGCCAGTGCGACTTAAACCAGAGTAAGTTAAAAAATGGGAGGTTTTCGGAGGGCGTGAACAAAGCTAGACTCGCCCAGTGGCAGAGCTGCATGCTCCGGCACCGGGAGCGGAGAGCAGGCGGGGGTGTGGCTCGCCATCCACAGGGGTGTGGTGCCCAGTTTGGTTGGGGGGTGCATGGTGAGCATCTGGGGGAGCGGCCATGATGGTACCCCCTTCCCCGAAATTTGCCTAATCCTATTGGATTTGTAGCAACTCTACTCAAGTTGGAGCATTCATTTTCTCCATAGATTTTTTTTAAAAACACAAATTATGTAATTTGCACTCTAGCACTGGATGAATCAAACCGCAGTGCTCACTCACCGAACATCCAGAAACATCCTCTTTCCCTTTTTTGCCAGTTGAGAATGATGTCCAGCCACCGTGGTTTATAGAAATCAGAGAATCCAGCCAGGCCACAAAACAAAACTGAGAAGCAGAATGCAAACACATTAAATGGCAACTACTGTCTACCATCCATCCTTCCTTCTTTCCATCCATCATGGAACCCAGCAGTCAGTCTCTCACCCAAACACCAAGCAGACTTGGACCAGCTTAACTTCAGCAAAGATGGTAGCCTCACATGTCTTCATGGGGCCCTGCACTTCTTATTGTACATTATGATGCTTTGCGCTCATGGTACTATTTGGATGGCCCAACACAATCCTGCCTCCAACCTTATTCATGCCCACAAAAGTTTTGGGGTGGACATACTGCTTCATTTCCGTTCAGTGCTTATCCTGCGTTGTTGTTGTTGTTGTTGTTGTTGTTGAAATCCTTTAACTTTTTATACCACAAATGTTCTGAGGGTTTTTTGGTCCCATTTTTATGCAGTGATACCTGTTAGGATTGTCCTACTTTTGTGTAGGACCCTGGCAGAGACACATGCCCGACTGGCATGTCCTCTCCCTCCTGGTCGATCGTTCACGAGCTTCAAAAGCTTTCTTCAGCCTGACCATCACAGCGACTGATGCCAAAAGGCATTAGCACGCTTAGGGATCCTGCAGAGTATTGCAGTTCACATAACAGAATTCAGTAGCACAGCATTTTGGCTAATGTACTTTATTTACATATAGTATACTTGGAGCATTCTGACTTAGCTCCTTCCTCTTTCCCATCAGACAACAAAGAAAGAAAGAAAGAAAGAAAGAAAGAAAGAAAGAAAGAAAGAAAGGACAATAGCCCTACATTCTGGAACACAGTAGCACAAAACATCCTGTCTCCATCACTTCCCACACTGTGGAATGAAAACATATACCGTCATGTGACAGACAACAATCTCATGACTGCAAACATGGAGCAAGCATCCTAACAGTACCTTGGTTCTCAAACGCCTTGGTGCTCAAACAACTTAGAACCTAAACACTGCAAACCCGGAAGTAAGTGTTAGGATTGCGAACTTTTTTCGGAAGCCGAACGTGCTCCGTTTTGAGTGCCATATTTCAGTTTTGAGTGTTACACTGAGGTCAATCTGTTTTTTGCTATTTATTTTGCGTTTTTGTTTTTGAGGCTCTTTTTGTTTTGTTTTTGTGACTGTGTGGAACCCAGTTCAGCTACTGATTGATTGTGTGACTGCAGTACATTGTTTAGTGCTTTCATTTTATGGATCAGTGATCTCGTTAGATAGTAAAATTCATGTTAAATTGCTTTTTAGGGGTTGTTTTTAAAAGTCTGGAACGGATTAATCCATTTTGCATTACTTTCTATGGGGAAGCATGCCTTGATTTTGGAACGCTTTGGTTTTGGAACGGACCTCCGGAACAGATTAAGTTTGAGAACCAAGGTACCACTGTAAAGTGGTTCCCTGAGTGAAGAACAGTGCCTTGAACAGTGACACTACAACACAGCAGTAAGGCCACTTACTGTTTTCCGTAAAAAGGTCTCCCTCGGTCCCTAGGAGTGCTTGCTTTTCAGCTTCGACATTGATTTGCATCATTAAGTGACAGAACACACTCTTGTAATATTGCGCATTGTGGAAGAGGGGATCCGAGCAGCCTTTCTAGATGTGAACAAGAAGCAGGGGAAGAAAGACTGTTTTTCATATACCATCTTGTAGCACAGTTTTGCTTGTCGAGAAAGGGATGGTGAAGAATGGAAGTATTCAGCTAATCAGAGAAACTGTCACTGCTCTTCCTCCCAATATCATCATTAAACTACATAGAGAGAACCAGTGTAAATATTCACAAATATTCAACACTCTGAAGATTTCCAGTTTCGCCCAGGACACATCTGAGTGGGAAAATCTAGAATGAGACTTTTGAACCTTAAAAGATTCAAAAAGATTTCAACCCGATGGCATTTTGTGATTGTTTTTGTAGGCAAAAAAACCCTATTCCCCTCACAGAGCTACAATACCCAGAGTGATTTAACAACCAGTCATTTCCCCTAGCAATTCCCAGGGAATTGTCACTCTGGAATGGGAATGGGGGGATCTCTTAAGAAGTCTCAGGACCTGTAACAAAGTATGGTCCCCAGGATTCCTTGGGGGAAGCCATGACTGTTTAAAGTGGTATAATAGTTCTTTAGATTTTCTATTGATAACTGAAGCACTGGAAGGGCAATTTCCACCAAGATATTGGCTGCATTGTGGTCCTGCAAGAAACCACCCCCGCTCCTAGCAAGCATTCTTTAAAAAACAAACAAACCTAAACCCAATAACCCATAACCCAACTGCAATTTACACAATTATGTAACGTGCAGTTAGCTCTAAATATAAGTGCTTTCCACCTAACAGCTGCTCTCAAGTACTAAATACCATTACATGTCAACCATTAAATACTACCCAGTACTAAACCAATGCATGTCAACTATCAATGCTGTCAAATATTGACACTGAATGTTAAAACCACATCAAATACAGACAGTACAACTTATTCTATGAATATTTGACTAATCTGTTCAAGCACACACATTTATGTACAATGTGCCTTAGAAGTCATTCACAAACATTAACCTGTTTTAACTGTTTTTAATTCTGAATTAAATTGTCACTGGTCCTGGGTCCTGCGAGTGAAAGGTGGGTAATAAATTACTCTACCACCACCACTAGAGTAGTACTACTCTAGTAGTAGTAGTAGTATTCCTGGTACTTTTCGTCCAAGGTTCTTGATTCTGGATGAAAGGTGATATTCTGAACATAATGCTAGGCTCATTCCCATTTCCTACCCCTGCCCGCCCCCCATTAATGTTTCTGCCCTGTTAGCAAAGCACATGGCCAACTCCTTACCATCTCTGCAAACAGGAAGTAGAAAAGCTGATGGGACAGGCCGTATCCCGAGCAGTGTGTTTTTATCATGATGCTTCTGCAGTTATCTGGAACAAGGCAAGGTGTGCCACCAGCCCTTTTGTAGAAAAGCATGGCATTAGGCAATTTCAAGAGCCAGACAGGTGAGAGATTTGTGTAACAGGCAACCCATGCTTCGGGGGTACGTGGACTGCACGAGACACACCAGTATTGTGGTGTTAAACCAAGATACTGTTGCATGCACCCCAATCTCTAGGTGGCGAGAGACTCCTGGGGTTCCAGCCATTACCTAGCATTTGGTTTTCTTAAAATGAAGGTTAACAGACACTGTGGCGTCTTTAGAATTTACAGTTTAATTTACATATATAAATCTAGAGCAAGTGGCCCACGGAGATCATTTAAACGGCCCACAAGCCGCCCCCGAACCGCCTGCTCGGCAAGCCCCCCCCATGCTGCACTAAACCGGCGCAGCGCGGAGCAGGGACTCACTTCTGCTGCTCCAGAAATCATGTTTGCGCAGGCGCAATCTGGCCCACAGAACGATCTCCGAGGGAGTGAACCGGCCCAGGTGAGGTAAACCTTGCCGACCCCTGATCTAGAGTCACAATGTTAACACTAGGTATGACAGAGAGGTAAGCAAAATTCCTACCCTGATCCTAGCAGGATGGATATGCAGGAATCGCTTGTATCCAAGTCCAGACATGAGCCATTGGTTGGGGAGAAAGAAACAGGAGGGTCATTCTGAACCCACTGATGGGGAATCTTCCAAAACCCTGGGCTTAAAGCTTGATGAAATGCTGCAAAGGGTGGGGAGGGGAAGAGATAATAGTTTGTTATTATTTTGCAATGACTTAGTTTGTAGGCAATAATACTGAGCTAGAGAAACCATTGTTATGACTTGGAATAGGGGAGCTTCCTATGTCCCAATAGGAGAGGGGTAGGAATGGATGACAACAGTGAATCTGTGAACCCTTACATGGCTAAGCGGAAGGTACATCCTGCCTGAGGGCCTCATTGCCCTGACTACATTCAAACATATTTCATACACATGTCAATTTTGTGTGGATACCTATTTGAACTTAGGGAGGGCTGGCATGATATGTTTAATTTAAGATTAATATACTGACGATCACCGTAACTGCAATGTAAACTGATGGTAGCCTATTGTTTTATCATATTTTATTTTATTTTCTCTCTTTTTCTTCTTTCTTCTCTTTTCTTCTTATTTAATTTGCAAATAAAAATCAATAATAATGAGACAGGGTGGGGAATCGTTTTCTGCCCAAGGGCCACATTCCCTTCTTGGCAACCTCCTGGGGGCCATATGCCAGCGGTGGGTGGGGCCAGAAGCAAAAGTAGGTAGGGCAATACATGCAAATTTTACCATTGTTCAGTAGGCTAATTTCTGCACACACTTGCGCACCCCTTTCTGTCTTCCACAGGGGCGGCCCATCCTGTTTTGCCGCCTGAGATCTACCTCACGGACAGGCTGGCCCTGATACTCCAACCAGTCCAACGTGAGGGATGATCAGAGTTCAGGGACACATTCCAGCCAGGCAGAAACATTTCTGGGTGCAGCAGGGCCACTGAGGGTTGTGGCCTGGGGAGAGTTCCAGAGGCCAGAAAGAGAGGCCTGGAGGGCGACATTTCCCTCCTGGGGTTGAGCCTTGCCACCCCTGTGATAAGTCACCTTGAAACATGGGGATAGCAGATATTTGGGGAACGTCTTTGCCCTAAAGACAGATTCCTGCCTGCCTACCGTCCTCTCTAGCTGCAGCCCAACCCTACTCCCATTCCACTATGGTGAGGTTTGATGCTACCTCTGTAAGAATCCGGCTCGTTCTTCTCTAGAGCACGCTTTGCTTTTTCGATCAAAGCTGACACCTTCGCATCCAAGCGTCGCACTCGCACTTGCTCCGACTCTAATCCAGACACCAAGGCCCATTTCTCCAATGTTCCATTCAGATACGCTGGATATTTAGAGAAGGGAAAGAATATTTTTGAATCCTGCCTCTAAAGGATGGAGAGTTGGGGTGGGTCAATTCCCCCCCCCCCCGTTATATCCAGCTAAGTTCTATTCAGCGTAGACCTACTGACATTGGTGAACCTAAGTGAGTCATGCCTGTTAACTTCAATGGGTCTACTCTGGGTAGGACTAGCATTGGACACAGCCCACAGTTCAGTTCTTCACATTTCTGCACTAGTGTTCTCTCTCTCTCCCTCCCCACCACCCTAAATAAATTTACACTTATTTCTTTACTTTCTGGCCCCTCCATTCAGTGTTAGAACAAAGACAAATTTGCCTTTGTCTAGAAGAACCTGAAGGAAAAGCTGCTTGGTTTTTAATGCTCAGTGGGATGGGAAGGACTCCTCACCCAAGAAAGACGTTTGGAAAACGACTGTACGAAATAAAGTCACACCCAGACTTGACGAGTGAAGCTGGCAATTTTTAAGGTGAGAGAAAAGAAAGAAAGGAAGGAAGGAAGGTGGTGTAACAGGAAGAATTAGTCTAAAACACACTTAGCTAGGGAGGGAGCCCCATTGAACATAATGGGACTTAGGGCTCAGCCACACTTGCCTTTTGCCTTACTCTTCGCAGACAAAGGCCCACATTTTGTAGGCCCTGAGCTTTCCCTACAAAAACCTGCTCAGTCAGAGCAAATGTCATTTTAGGTTTTCTAGGGATTGCTTCAGTTCAGCTTCAAAGAGAGAGTTTTCATGGGGAAAGCTCCGGAGCTAAAAAACCAAAAGCACACGGACCATGCCTCGAAAGAGGGGAGGAAAGGTGAGTGTGGATAAGCCATTATTCCTGAGTAATCATGCCTAAGGGTTGTGCTATATGTCTCCAAAGTAGCTGGAACTGTACCTTGCAACAGACGATATCCAAACACTCCATCTATGTTGAGTTCATTATATTGCTCTTCCAGGAACAAAGTTGCTTTCTCCAGTGCGGAGATGATCGAATTCCTCTTATCCTCACATCTGGATAAATTCAGGTTAAGGAGGAAAATCAACAGCTGGAAACGGAGGAACAGCATGCTTTGCTAGAAGGCTCTGCCACTGAGGAGTGCCAGTTGCTTCTGAGCGGTGCCTGAGAAGTGTCCTGCTCCACTCTTCCAAAGCAAAATATTATCTGTGCAAATACTTGTCAAAGGGAGGGACAAAGCACCACACTATGACTCCGTGGACACCTTCGGGAAACATTTGCATGGTATGTGAATGCCCAGGTGGTGTTCTTCTGATGAATCATTTGCACACATCCTTTCTATGATGCTATGAATTTCATCTTCCTCTTGATCCTTTAGTCAATCCATGTATTCTGGTTCTTCTCAGTGGCTGTTTCTTCTAGAATTTCAGCATGAGAGATACCTGAATCCAATCCTCTTCAGGGGACAAATCAAATCTACTCCAGTCCCCCTGAGTTAACCATTCTGAGCTTTCAGCTTGAACAACTTCAGTTGACAAGTTTACCTCCTCTTCTTTAAGAATTTCTCTTTTTAAATTAGTGTTTCAGGCTTCTTCCATAAATGTTCCACAGTTCAGTATAAGGTGTTTGTGTATAGAGTGGATGTTTTTATTGTTCTCCTTTTCTTTTCTTTTTTAAATTATATTTTTATTAAAGTTTTCTTGGTTTACAAAGGTATAAGCAATGTCTCTTTTTTCAAGTTACATTTTCCATAGGTCAGTTTCATTTGTTGAGACATTAGGGTTACATTAGGAAGAAAAGAGGGGAAGAGGTGGAGGGGGGAAAGGCGAGTGGGGGTGAGGTCAGGAGGCGATGTTTCTATTTTGCTTAATGTATGTGTGGGGTTTTGTGTCAGCATCGTTTGTGCAGATTCTCTTTGCTATTCGCTTGTGTTCCTTTGGTGGTGAGAGAAATTGGGGTTGGCCTAGGGTGCGGTCACCGGTTGCTTGTTTGTGATTGGTGAACTTTGTTTTCGTGTGTGAGTGGGGTGTGTGTGTGTTTTTGAATCAGGTTAGCCATGTTGATTTGTATGCTGTATTGTTGGGCTGTGTATGTGATAAAGGGGAGCCTTTTCTAACAGATAAATGGGTGAACGTCTTGTCTGCCTATTCCTTTGTGGTGATTCGTGCTCTGTGAGATGGGAGATCCCCATGGACTTAAAGCTCCAGGTCCCAGTTTTACAATTTAATGAGCAGAGTTGAATCTCCTTTGGTTGTTTTCTCTCAGTCTAGTTTTCCTGCAGAGTTTAAAGGCTTATCCACATTAACTTTTCCCCTGCTCTTTCCAGGCACAGTCCATACGTTAAACCTCTGTGTCTGAGTGTCCTTTTTTCTTCTTTTGCCCTGGATCTTTCCCCACAAAAACTCACTCTTTAAAGCTGATTTGGAGGAAATGGCAATCTGCAGAAAACCCGAATCAATGTTTGCTCTGATTGAGTGTTAAAAGAGCAGCTTTTCATGGGGAAAGATCTGGGGGGAAAGAAAAAGAAAAGGAAGAAAGAAAAACACTTGGACATGGAGCTTTAAAGTGTGGAGATGTGCCTGGAAAGAGTGGATCAAAAGATAAGTGTGGATAAGCCCTAACTGGAAACACAGGCTGCAAACCAGAAATTTGTATACGATCTTGGATACCTGTAAATCTCAGGGCAGTTCACAACATAAAATCACAATGTAAAAAACACAAAACACGTAATAAAAATATGAACAAAAACAAACACACATTTAAAAGGGCATTGGATATCAATCAGCCAAAGACCAAGGGAAGGTGTTCTAAAAACACTTTATGGCATGGTTGTAAACTTTTACAAAGTTGTAAGTCTTATCCTGTTGCCTTGTAGAAGTCATGCCAAAAAAAACCCCTCTCCCCTATGCCAACTTCCTCCCTAAAGAATCAAGCAATTCTTAAAAAAGATTTTCTGTAAGTACAATGAAGAGCTTGTCTCCCAACTATCTCTGTTGCCATCTCGATCATTGGCAATTTGAGTGTTTTCAGCAGGTGTGATTTCCCCTGCCATCACCATGCTCTGCTAGTTCTTGGCATAAAATTAAAGGGGATATGCCCTTTAAATGTTGTATTAACATTTCGAGGTTAAATTGGTGCATTGTTGTCGTCCCCTCCTTTTTCATGCCTTGACAAAACACCCTTTTGCAAGCAATTGTGACTGTGCAAGCATTTATCCAGCTGAGCTGGGAATAGAACCATCAGGTGTCATACCCCTGGATGAGACCAGCTGGTGACCCCTGATTCCAAATCTAATTTTGGCGGGGTGATTGTTTTTATTTTTACTTTATAATACACAAAAAGCAATAGACAAAGCAAGTGAGTTAAAGAAAAGAAAGCAAGGCAGTGAGAAGAGAGGAGAGAGTGCTAGTATTCAAAAAACAGCATTATAATTCCTAACAATTGTCCTTCACAAATACATTACTATTCAAGAATGTTTCTGCATAGCAGTCCATGAGAGGTGGGTGGTTGCGAATCATGGTCCTTTTACCTTAATGTATTCAGTAAATGGATGCAAAACATTTGAAAAGTTGTTGTTCCTTGTTGGATAGTGTAGGATTTGGGCATCTTTTGTTAATTTCTCCATTAGAGCAATGGTCCACCAGCTCTGGAAGTAAAATCAGCATCCTTGTGTGCAGCTTGTAGGGCTTGGGGGATATTATCTGCAGCATCCTTGGAGTAGGCCAGCTTCTAGACCATCCACCGGTCACCAGCCTTCTCTCCTGTGCCCTCTAGGAAGAAGGGGAGATCATTGTGGAGAGCTTGCTGAACATCTCCTGGGGGCTGCTCAGGTCCATCTGCTTGCAGATGCAGGATGACAGCTAGTGCATCTGCCCATTGTCTTCCTCCTCCTCCTCCTCCTCCTCCTGGCATTCATTCCAGCTGCAACCTGGGAACACACTCAGAGTATAACCTACCACGCAAGGTTGATGTGAGCGGTGCTTTTTTCGGGGGGGGGGGGGGAGACAGGACGCAGGGGTACGCATACCCCTAAACATTATGTTAATCTAAGTTTGGCCTCATTGAGGGACAGTATTTCATATGGGTAGGAAAATGAGAGTAAAAATGTAAAGGACCCCTGACAGTTAAGTCCAGTCGCGAACGACTCTGGGATTCCGGCACTCACCTCGCTTTACTGGCTGAGGGAGCCGGCGTTTGTCCGCAGAGTTTTTCTGGGTCATGTGGCCTGCATGACTAAGCCGCTTCTGGCAAACCAGAGCAGTGCACGGAAACACCGCTTACCTTCCCGCCAGAGCAGTACCTATTTATCTACTTGCACTTGATGTGCTTTCGAACTGCAAGGTTGGCAGGAGCAGGGACCGAGCAACGGGAGCTCACCCCGTCACGGGGATTCGAACCGCTGACCTTCCGATCGGCAAGCCCAAGATGCTCAGTGGTTTAGACCACAGCGCCACCCGTGTCCCTAAACATGAGAGTACGTACCCCTAAACATTTTTTAAAGAAAAAAAAAGCACTGGTTGTGAACGATATAAGCTACCTTGAGCTCCTTGTAGGAAAGGTTAGAAGTCTAATAAGTTCGTAAGCAATTATTGGTAGCAGTGGGCTTCCGTGGTGGTGTGGGGCAAGGACTAGCTCACTGGGCTCCACCACTCGCATCATCCACACTTTCCGTGAAAGAGGGTCAACCGAGTCACGAGTTGCAAATAGACAACTTCAAGAGCTGGAACTGAACTTTGTGCTTCCCTTGTCACAACCTGCATGCATTACAGATTAGTTCTCTTGGCATATTTTAATTTCCTTGCATGGGTTAGGCTAACCGACCCTTGGGATCCCTTCGAATTCTACAATGCTATGACTCCTCCGCACAGGGAAGCAGAGAAGAATCCCGCCCATCCAGCCTCGATTTGGATCCAAGATGGCGACCGATCTGAAAGCGGCCTATCTCGGCAATGATTTCCCACCTACATAATGCAGGCGATACTTCCTTGGTCAGATTCAGCGGAAGGCGCTCTAGCCCTCCCACTCTATCTCTCGCAAGATGGCGGCCCTCCTTTGGCTGACGCTTTGCGGGTCGGCGACGTTAACGCTGCTGCTGCTTCTCCTGTTACTATGGCAACGGCAGCGGCCTGCTGGTTCCGAGGACCGCGTGGCGGTGGTGGTGCTGGGCGACCTGGGCCGCAGCCCCCGCATGCAGTACCACGCCCTGTCGCTGGCCCGCCGCGGCCGCCGCGTCGACTTTATCGGGTACCCGGGTGAGTCCGAGGTGCTGAGGCTTTTCCGAGCCTGGAAGCCACGCCTCCTACTGCCTTGCTACAACCCCTCGTTCCAAAAGATGTCCGAGGGCTTTTGCGCTTTCCTTTGGTTCGATGAAATGCACTCCACATATGCTCAGAGGCACTCTTGCACTACATTGTTATTTTTAACAGCATACCGCTAAGGTATGCAGCCGGGGATCTTGCGGACCCTCATTGCAGAGTTGTGCGGGACCTTAAGCGTTGCGAAAGGTACTCTGCATATGTTTAGATGCACTCTTGCACGGCAGTGTTGTTGTTGTTGTTATTAACAGAACATGCTGTTAATGTAGCCAGCCATGCATCTTATTAATATTTTTTTGCTAACCCATGTTCCAGGTATGTGAGAGAGTTTAAGTGCTTGGGGAAGAAGGGGCACTCTTCATATGCTCAGAGGCAACCATTTAGAGAGGGCTTCCTTTAAAGTGTTCCGGAGAAAGGCTTTCTGTATATGCTCAAGAGTCATAATTCACAGCATGTCTCCAGGGGCTGAAAGCTCTGACTTTAAGAACAGCCGCTGCCCCCACATTTAAGTACTCCTGGACAACCACATGCCCTCATGCTTTTCTGCTCAGGAAATTTAGAAGTATGATTTGAATGGTGTTGTAACAAGGATTGGGAATGTGTAGCCCTCCAGATGGCCTTAGACTCCAACTCCCATCAGCTTCACTCCATGGCTAACAATGAAGGATAATGGGAGTTGGAGTCCAATGTCATCTGAAGGCCTACAGGTTCCCCACTACTTCAACAGTAGGTGTCCTTTTAAACTGCCATAGGTATACACTGAATTATCCTAATATGTGTATAGGTTTTTGCCCCCAGAACATTGCTGGCTTATATACTGAATTCATATTTGCTGTTCCCACTTAATTTGCTTTCACATTCTGTTCTGTTTATGTATGTGCTGGATGGATTCTCTTAATTGTTTACTTTTCTTTCAGGCACAAAGCCACACAGCGAGATTATACGTAATGGAAACATACAGATTGTTCATATCTCTGAGCTCAAAATTTGGCAAGGTATGGTGAACATTGCAGTATTTGGAGGTTTTTTTTGTTTTGTTTTTTTAAAGGATGCACCAGTTTTTAAATCAAGGCTCCTTTGACAGAAAAAAATGCATTTTTTTTTGCTATTTTGTATTTTAAACATATTGTGTAACTTGTGTTTAATGTTTGTTATTGGTATTTTTAATGAACTTATTGTAAACATCTTTCCGTGTTTTATTATGTGTGTTGCAACTCTGATGACTGTTTATTTCCTCTTGTAGTTGGGCCAAAGATGTTCCAGTATATCGCAAAAGTCATTTTACAGAGCATCCAACTATTGTATACAATGCTGAGGATAGCTAAACCAAACTATGTACTTCTCCAGGTAAATATGCGTCATGAGAACTATATACAGTTTTTGTGTCTCCTAGGTCTGTTTAAAACATACCACTTTTAAAGCAGTGGCAGTTGGGAAATGTTTTAGTTAAAGTGTGTTTTAAGTTGGATACTATATTTGGAATATTGATACACATATGCTTTGTCTGCAGTAGTCCAAGGTTTGTGTTTAGAGCAGATTCTTACATTTTTGCCTTTACTTTTTAACTTGGGTAGCGGCCTGTTATTATATAATCACAAGCAAACATCATTAGGTGATGGTGAATACTGTAAGAACAGGTTGCTGGACTAGATGGGTCTTTTGGTCTTAGCCTGCCAGCAGAAGGATAACAATGAAGCAGCCAGCCTAACCTTTCTTGGGAGGGAATTCCACAAAATGGTTTTGATGTTCATGGGACTGAGAGAAGGTGCTCACCTGAGACTCTTAGCACCCAAACATCCTAAAGAATCTTGGGAACTGTAATTTGTTAAAGGGACTGGGAATTCAATCTCTGTGAGTGTTGAACTACAGTTCTCAAGATTCTTAGGGGGAAGCCATGTGCTTTAAATGTCTGGTGTTGATATGACCTATGGCACTGAGATAAAGGCTTTGGGGAAAATGAGACGTATGAGGAAATATTTGAAGGGTAGGGGAAGAGAGATGTGGCATTCTGGGTAGGAGTTAAAGGCCCAGACAGAGGAAGAAAGCAAGAGCTCTTATTCTCTGGTATTGCACTATCTCTTGCTTTCTGAAACAGACTCTCTTTCTCTTCATTTTTATGACCAGAATCCTCCAGGTCTGCCCAGCATAGCTGTTACCTGGGTGGCTTGTCTTCTAAGAAGCAGCAAGCTCATCATCGATTGGCACAACTACGGCTATACCATAATGAGCCTCACACATGGAAAGAGGCACCCTGTTGTCCGGATTGCTAAGTGGTTTGTACAACAGCTGTTTATAGTTTATTAGACACCGTTGGCCAAGTCGTCAGTGAACCATGGGGATTATTCATTTTTTTATATGTGTGTGTGCACACGCACGTGTATTTATGTAGGTTTATCTGTATAACCACCCTGGGAGGCAGTTTAGGCTGAGATTTGGTGATTGGCACAAGGTGACTTCTTGACAGTGGGCATTTGAACCATGGCAGAGTGAGACCTTCCTCATCCGATAGTAGCCACTGCACCACACTCCCTCGTAATGCTCCTTTGTGAGTATTTCAGAAGCGCTAGAAACTTGATGAAATATTTGTACATCCATTAGCAACTGGCCTCATACAGTGCATTGCTGAATGTGAATACAGTACGATCACATCTTACATGCGGTTAACTGGCAGCCATATACGTGGTTGAAGGCAGACTGGTTGAAAATGCACAAGTTAAATCCAAGCAAGGCAAAGAGCTTAAAAGCTCTTTTTGTGCTAGATCCACTTGGGTTACCTGGCATGAAAAGAGCTTTGTAAGCTCTCCACCTTGCTTGCTGGGCAAGGCTAGCTCAGCATGCGAACTCTGGGAGTATTGGAGATTCTCTCTCCCCTGCTAGCCACAGGGGTGGCTCCAAGAGTTTGGATATACACTGTTGTTGTGTATACGTAGAACCCTTTGAACCGAACCCCTGCTTAAGATGCAGTTGTCCTGTATTTAGGTAAACAGGACAGGTTTGCTATATTTGAACATGTTATCATATTGATTTTGATTTTATTAGTCACATACTAGAATAGTCACTGGCTTATATAGAATGTGGATAAAATTGTTGGTGTGTATCTCTTGTGATAACAAATGTGGGCCCTGCTCCAGGTAAAGCTAGTCATGCCTATGGCTGCCATCTTATATGCAGTGGGCTGCATCTGGACTAAGTTAATTGAACATGGGTTCCATGGAAATCAATGTGAAAACTTCAGGCCACAGCAAGACTTAAATCTCAATTATTTCAGTGGGAATTTCATGCAGTTAATATAGTCTGGATCCAGCGCTCTCAGTGGAGCTTACTTCTGAGTAGTTATTCATAGGGTAATAGCATAAAAGCTGCTGAAAATGGTTATCCCTGTTTTGAGATGGAGTTGGGCCATTATGTTATGTGGTGGGCAACTTTTTAGGTTTGAAGTTATTCTCAGGTTTTTTTTTTAGTGTGTGAGACCACTGAATTCCCAGGTTATGAGGAATTGTGTATAGGAAATACATGAACATATATTGCATTTTTGTGGTTTAAATGGATTTGAGAAATGAAGGAAAGCATATGATTTTGCTTTATTTTTTAAAAAAGGCATTGCAACCGGGGAAGAAACTTATATTCCCACGAAAGCATCTGAGATGGGTTAGTAGAACCAGTATTTAGTAACTGATGGACATTCAATTTATTTCAGGTATGAAGAATTCTTTGGGCGTCTGTCTGACTATAACATTTGTGTGACTAACTCAATGAAAGAGGATCTTCTGGTGAACTGTAACATCAGGTAAATGAGTAGCTCACAATCGGCTCTACCAAATGAGTTGTGTGTGTTGCAAGGACCTTTACTAGACCATATAGAAATATCCAGCAGAGCCAGTGGAATATTAACAATATTGTTAATATTAACAATTAACTAAAATGTAACTTATATATAATATTAATGTATTGTTAATATTGGTATTTTTTGTCTTTGCAAATTGCTTTCAACCTTATTGTATTGGAAAACAGCATATGAAAGTATGCATATCATAAGAACAAATGGGAGAGCAGGGTCACTTCCTCCAGCACTTGGAATGATAGGTTTACTGAGGGGCCTACAGAGGTTTAGCCCAAAGTGCTTCGCCTCAACCCCTGGGATCTTGCACCACAAAATCACAGTATGCAGATTGGTCCTAGCTGCATTAGCCTACTCAGATGTGATGCCCAGTGTGTGAATATCAAGTATGGATGAAGCCTCAAGTGCTCTCACCACATGTACCCTTTCTCTTCTCTAACATAACATCTGCCCATAGTTTTCCTGCCTTAATTTTGTGTAAAAATATTTCCAGGGCACTTCTATAGTACCTTTTTACATTCACTGATTTTTTATATATATATTAATATTTTATTAAGATAATTTCAGTTGGAAGAAATAAAGTGAAGAGAAAAACAAAGAAAGAAAGCAAAACATAAAGAATACAATAAGAAAAAAAGATAAAATAAGCTAAATATAGCGTAGCTACATTTCCATACATTATTATATAGATATATAAGTAATATTATTGTCATTTTGGCTAAGATCAAGTATAGTATCTGATTTATATCTTTATTGTTTTGACTCCTGGGCCCCTTTGCGTTGCAGAGCGACAACCCTCTATGACAAGCCAGCATCTTTCTTCAAGGAAACGCCATTGATCGATCAGCATAAGTTGTTCATGAAACTAGCCAAAGAATATGCTCCGTTTAAAGGCCAACTTGTGTAAGTTAAAATGTGCTGTTGTATACACTCCTACCTAGTTTGGAACTGGCGTGCTTAAGAACACAGGAGGAGCCTTCTGGATCAGGCCAGTGGCTCAACTAGTCCAGCATCCTGTTCTCAGAGTGGCCAACTAGATGCTTGTGGGCAAACCTCAAACAGAACCTGAGCACAAGATCCCTCTGCCTTCCTGTGGTTTCCAGCAACTGGTATACAAAAGCATTACTGCCACCAAACTATAGAGGCAGAGCATAGCCATTGTGGCTGGTAGCCATGGATGGCCTTTTCCTCCATTAATATGCCAAACTCCTCTTTTAAAGCCTTCTAAGTTGGCCATCAATGGGACGTGGGTGGCGCTGTGGTCTAAACCACAGAGCCTAGGGCTGGCTGAAATCCCTGCGACTGGGTGAGCTCCCGTTGTTCAGCCCCAGCTCCTGCCCACCTATCAGTTTGAAAGCACGTCAAGTGCAAGTAGATAAATAGGTACCACTCTGGCGGGAAGGTAAATGGCATTTCCGTGCACTGCTCTTGTTCACCAGAAGCGGCTTAGTCATGCTGGCCACATGACCCAGAAGCTGTCTGTGGACAAAAGCCAGCTCCCTCGGCCTATAGAGCGAGATGAGCGCTGCAACCCCAGAGTCGTCTGCGACTGGACCTAACGGTCAGGGGTACCTTTACCTTTACATTAGCCATCACTGCCTGCCGTGGGAATGAGTTCCATAATTTAACTATGCTCTGCATGAGTTAGTAACAATGCTTTGTGTTCATTTGGTACCAAGGCAGCTTGGTTAAATACTAATGGGTTGAGGAGCTTAGTAGGGAACTTTGAGAAGGGATAAATATTGACAACATCTCCTGCCTAAATATGGAGCTGACCTTTATGGCTTCCATTAATCTGATTTTGGGAGCTATAATGTTTGGTTTGGCGCGTGTGCTTTTGCTGATCACACATGTTCTTTGAAGGTTAGTCTTCAGAATCCTGTTTCTCCTTAGAGCAGAGTCCAGCCTCCCAGGTGATGTTGAGAAAACTGCCTTTACACAACTAGACACCAGGAGCGGAAACGTGATGCACTGCATGGGCCGGCCAGCTCTCCTCATCAGCAGCACCAGCTGGACAGGTCTTGGCCCTATACCATTGTCTGTGTATCTTTCCATACAGTATGCTTGAGATGCTTGCACATGAAGCTGTAAAATAGGGATGCAGAACCTCAGGTCCAGGGCCAAATGCAACCCTCCAGGTCTCTTTGCCTGGCCCTTGGGACTCTCCATAGGCCACACCCCCTCCTAAGCCACACCTCTCACCAGCCCTACTTCATATGCTTAGGTGTTTTGGCCTGGCTGGAATGTGCCCTTGAACCTCTGATAATGCTTCTTGCTTGTCTGGATGGAGAGGGGTTTGTGAGTAGAAACTAGCCTATCGTAGAAAGTTAAAATTCACATTTGCAGCTCCCATCACTTTTGCCTCTAGCCCTGCCCACCACTGCAGTGTTTCCTCTAGAAGGAAATGCTGCCTTTGGGCTGGAAAGGTGTCCCACTCCCGCTGTAAGACTTTGCACTAACTGTATACCAAGAGAAGTGGCAAGTACTTGAGCAGAGAATACTTCAAGATTGCTTGGAATTCTTTTTTAAAAAATTAGTGGAAGTACAGGTGACCAATTAACAAATTGGCAACATAATCATGGTTGCTAACAGTAGCTGATTGCCTCCCACTTCCAAGGAGAGGATAATTTTCATGTCCCTCTTTCCTTGGATTTCTGATCATGTATGGCTGTGTTGAAAAATATAATCTCATCATGTGGGCAAGAACTGTGAACATAAATCTCCACATGAAGAGTGTAACATAAACATTGTCTTGATTTGTACTAGAATTTCTCCAAAAACTGTCAGGCCACTAACTTTTCAACAGCCTTTCTCTTTCCCTTCATTCCACAATTGATGTTGCTTGGTTTTCACTGTCTACTTGCAAATGTTTGGAAAATATTTGTTTCATTAGCAATTATTAATTGAGTTTTAATTAATGTTTGAAGTTTATGAAGCAGTTTTGAAATTGACAGGATGAAATAAGTGACCTGGAGCACATGGCAGCCTAATATAAACTGGGTTTATTTTTTTATTTATGTCAGAGCTTCATTCTTTTCCCTAGTAAAAGTAACAGAGCTGATCCTAGGACTAGGCAGGGTAAGATGGAATATTTTGGGGGAGTACAATTTATTTAGGATTACAGTATATGGTTGGGAGACTCTTTGAGTCTTCTCCCTTAGGCACCAAAATATATTGGGATCATCTGTGTGTAAAGTTTGTAGACAGTCATTTTATGTATTTAAAGCATTTTTACTCTTTCAGTCAAAATGGCTCCCAGAGCTGCTTATAGATCAACAAAAAGCAAATGAATTCCTGCCCTCAGGTTTCCACTCAAGACACAAAAGCTAAAAAGGATGGGGAGGGAAGATGAAAATGAGAAATCTCAGGCAGCAGTTTCTTAAAGGTTACAAAGTTCTTATAATGGCAAAACAGTTCAGTTAGCTTCTGTTGGGAGACAGTTGTGGAAGAGCCAAAGGCTCTCAGCAGAGCCAGTGGAATAGTAAAAATGCCTTAAGAAATCCAGCAAATGCACAAGGCATTTGGAGTTGATTTCAGAGTTGGTCTCAGTGGGCTTAAACATGTCTAATGCCAGCACAGAATACATTGCTATTTGAATGAATGTGACAAATACAGAAGAGATTACTTTAGCTGCATGTCTTCTAGCTGCTGTGAGCCCCTTTGGCTGTACAAGAGAGAAGCACCGTGTTGATTGCCTCATTTGCTCTACGTTATACAGTTGCTACAGAGACAGCACTCAAAAGCCAAATTGCTTTAGGTGAAACCAGAGTTATTACTGTGATTCTTGTATATTAACTGCAAACTTTTTCTCCCTTTTCTAGAAGATGAAGATTTTTCCATCCTATTAAGAGCTTTAGAAGGTGGGTTATTAAGGGAGCATTCTGTCTTTCTTAACAAGCAAACCTGGATCCACTGCTGTCACTGGAGGCACAGGCGGCCTCAGCAGTGTGGGCTGCCCATAATTTGAGTTGATCTGGCCCTCCTGCCGAAAGTGATTCCCCATCCCTGCATTAGCGGAATTGGCAACTGGATCAGAGAGCAGGAACTGTGGTCTATCCTCTTCCTTTCTTCACTTGCTGGGAACAGTGTACTATTAGGTGGCTAAGACTGAGAAGGGTATTTTGAGCAGCGGGGGAAAGACGTTTGCATAGGCGAACACACCTCCTTGAATGCTAATAAGCAGAACTCAGCTGTGGTTACCCCCTACTGCAACCAAAGCTATTGTTGCCTCAGTCCTGTGAACCTCAACCTCCCACTTCTCCTGCCCACAGCTGCAAAAAGAAAAGGGGGGACTGGAGAGAAAAGCAGTGGCAGCTGCAGGCTCTTCTACCCTGGCAGAGCATCTTTCTCAGCAGAGGACTGGGACCAGCAGGTCCAACATGTCTATCAGAAAAAGCGAGAGCTGTGAGAGCACCAAGGAAAAGGCCCCCATCAGAGAACAGGCGTGTTCTCTGATGGGGAACAGTTCTCTTTGCATTGCCACATGTGTTCTGTGCATATCTGGGATTCAGATGTTGGCTACAAAGTCTCCTTTTGCGCCACTCTTGACTTAAAATACTCTTTTATCAAGGCATCCTGAAAACTTGGTTATAGGGTGGCATCTAGATGCCTAAACTAAAAAATAGGTAGCAACTACAAGGGTGCCCACTCCCGCCCCCGCCCCCATTCTCCTATTGGTGCAGATTCACTTTGTAGATCTGTCTACAAACAATCTTGGCTGTAAGACTGTAGCTCTTCCCACCTCAGTCTTCCTGCTTGCTGTAGAAATCCCAAACTTGTTAAAAAGAAAAAAAGTTGCCTTTTGTAGCCTCTCACTTTTCTCCAGTGATGGTTTTGGGAAAGTCACAACTCCTACTGTTTGTTTTGTCGCACAGAATATGAACGCTATCTCAGCGATGGAGCAAAGCTTCCTCCTCTTGTGTGTGTGATAACAGGTAGCAGCTTTTATTTTATTTTTTAAATGATATTTATTAAAATTTCAGAAACAAAAAATTACGTAGTTAAAAATAAAAAAAGACAAAGAAAAATACAGAAAAAAAGGAGAAAAAACATACAAAATACAAAGTATAGAAATTTTTTTTGGAAAGAACACTTAAAAACAAATTAATCCTTCCGTATCTTACATTTCATTTCCTTGCTTCTCTGACCTCCTCTCACCTCCCTTTTTTGTATTCCAATTCAATTGGTTAATTCAGCAATTCCTTTCCCTCTTTGTTTTTATCTTAGTCCTTTAACTTAATATATTATAGCTTTAGATTCTCACCTATTAACCATCCATTTTTGCATACACCTTTATGACATTGCTGCTAAAACCACTTAACTTCATTCTAACATCATTCTAACATTCATTAATTTTACAATATTTCTGTAAGTAGTCTTTAAATTTCTTCCAATCTTCTTCCACCGACTCTTCACCCTGGTCTCAGATTCAGGTAGCAGCTTTTAAATCATTTGTCTTCTTTTCATCTTATGTATTCATACTGGGAAACCCATTTTCCCCACCACCACTGAAGAAGCAAGGAAGTTTCTGTGAGCTCCAGAGCTCTCTGTGTGTCGAGTGCATTAGTGAAGACCCTGCTTTCATTTTTGTATTTGGTTTGTGCCTTAAGCAGCTTGCCCCAAGTTGGCATGGTGTCAGCCCCCCCCCCCCCCGGGAGAACTATATAATTGTTACATTTACATCCTACCTTTCCTCCAAGGAACTCCAGGTGGCATGTTTCTCCTCCCTCTGTGCTTTATTTTGGCTACAGTCCTGTGCTAGACTGAGAGACTGAGAGTGGCTCAAAGTCACCCAGTGTGCTCCAAGGCTGAGCAGCGATTTTGACTCTGTTCTCCCAGCTCATAGCCTGACATTCTATAACCATGGCACCACGCTGGTTCTGGGCATTCAAATGAAATCTTTCCCAGAGGATGATAACTCTCACAATGCGCCCTTTTGGATCAGCAGCAAACCGTTTTGTTCATTCTCTTTCATTTAAAAAGGCAAAGGGCCTTTGAAGGAATATTACAACATGCTGATTGCAGAGCTGCATTTCAAGCATATCCAGATCCTCACTCCCTGGCTGGAAGCAGAGGATTACCCCCTTCTGCTCGGTAAGGAAGATCTTCGAATTTACCAGTGTGCTTCAATGTGTCATTTTGAAAATTTACAGGAGCAGACTCATGAGATCTTCGGGGTATAGGATAGTGGTCCATTGCAGGACTGTGATAGCAGAACCTTCTATTGAATAATAGAATAATAGAATTCTCGAGTTGTAAGGGACCCCAAGGGTCATCTAGTCCAACCCCTTGCACTGCAGGAATCCTGCCCACAGCCATCCCTGGGTGGGCTTGAACCACCAACCTTCTGGTTAACAGCCAGATGCCCCGACCCACTTGAAATGGGTCCTTTGAAGCAGGAGAGGAACTTGCACGCTTTCCTCCCTTTTCTTCTCCACAAGGGTGCTGACTGGCAGGGCAGAGGGAAAACAAGATGGCGGTGATATATACAAATTGACTAAGGTAACGAACTGCCTCTTCAGCATACAATGGAAGCTACATAATGGAAGGCACCAGAATTACCTCTGCAGTGGGGGGAAGTATCTCACAGCATGGAGGCTGCCAATGAGAATGGCTTCCCCCAGGCCACCACTCCTAGAAGCTCCAAGGGTAGTGGAACTACAAAGAAGGCCCCTCTCTGCTGATCTTGGCACCTGAGATGATCTGGGGGGAAGAAGAGGTCAGTAGAGAGGGTCTTGTATTCTGGCTCAGGTTCCTAAGTGACCTGGGCTTGGGAATGTTTGAGCGACAGTGAAACAGTTTCAAGTGAGTACTATTCAAGAGCTGGTGTACAATTCCTGCATGCCTCATTTTAACTGCCCCACAAACTCCTCCTTGGCAGGCCTCATTACCACCTGATTTGTATACCTCTTTTTTTTTTCAGTGGCAACAAGCCATCCATTACTTGAGCAGCTACAAAAAAACCCAAACTCATTTGCAGAATGTACTCAATGGGGGGTTGGTTTCTCTTACAGGCTCAGCTGACTTGGGCGTCTGTCTCCATATGTCCTCTAGTGGCTTGGACCTACCTATGAAGGTCGTGGACATGTTTGGCTGCTGCTTGCCTGTGTGTGCAGTGCACTTCCAGTGGTAAGAGCACGCCTGTGTGTTTCAGCATCTCAAAAGAACCTGGTGTTAGACCATTGGTCCATCTAGTGCAGTACAGTCATACCTTGGGTTGAATACGCTTCTAGTTGAGCACGTTCGAGTTGTGTTCCACGGCAACCTGGAAGTAACGGAGCGCGTTACTTCCGGGTTTTGCCACATGCGCATGCACAGACGCTCAAAATGACGTCACATGCATAAGTGGCGAAAAGCGACGTGCATGTGCGCAGACGTGCCGTCGCTAGTTACATTTGCTTATAGATGCGAACAGGGCTCCGGAACGGATCGCGTTCGTATTTAGAGGTACCACTGTAATGTTTACACTGGCAGGCAGCACCTCTCAGGGGTTTCAGGCAGGGAGTCTTTCCCAGCCCTGCCTGGGGATAATGGGATTTGAAGCTGAGACCTTCTGCATGCAAAGCAGATGCTCTACCGATGAGTTACAGCTCTTCCCCCATCTTGTGTATCCCCTGTTGGTTAACCCATCTCTTTATTCTTTGAGATCTCCATTTGTTTATTATTATTGGTGGTGGTTGTTACTACAAATGGACCCTGCAACAAAAAGTTGCAGAATGCTCTTGTTCAGGCTGCAGCCAGTCTAGAGCTCCCTGCAGATTCCTCTGATTTTTTTATACTCCCTAGCAGCTCCCAGGTCCTTGTCAGCTCCTTTTAGTTAGAAATAATTGGGAAACTATTGTTTTTATTTTAATTTGGAAATCTTGCTGTGCTTTTCTGTGCTGTGTTTGGGGCTGATATGGTCCAAAATATCTGGAAGGCACCAGGCTGGTGCATTAATGTGGTATGTTAACTGTTAACCCGCTCCCACACTGAAGAAAACAACTTTGAGATTCTTTCTAGTGCTGTTTTGCTTATTTTTGCAGTATACATGAACTTGTGAAGCATGAAGTAAATGGCTTGGTGTTCCGGGACTCAAGCGAACTTGCAGAGCAACTGAAGGTAACTTAGAAAAAGAGAATTTTGACTTGCTGATGGGGCTCATTGAGCATACATTGCTCTGGAAACATCAAGGAAGCTGGATGTTTTGGTGGCAGGAGGGAAGTTTCATCTTTGAATGCTGCTTCATAGTTTAAAAACAAAAACTTCCTGAACATAGAAAATTAGGAGAAATATATAAGCTAACATTCTCCCTGAAGCACTAGCTTTCTATGTGCAGGGAGTTGCTTTTAAATAAGTGGAAAGGGACATTCATTCATTCTCTCTCTCTCTCTCTCTCTCTCTCTCTCTCTCTCGTGCATATGTTGTCCTTTTAACAATATATAGCTTTATTTTTTTATTAAGGATTTTCCAGTATATGGAATGCTAAGCATATAATCAATTTTCTTAAAGGAAAAAAAAATCAAGCACAACCAATTTAGTTAGGATGCATAGAGTATAGAATTGCAACCCCCCCAAGCCCTTCATTATTTTCTCAGTAGGTCAGCAAGATTTCATAATGATCTGGCATGGGTTAGGTTATTGAATCTTGGAATACATAGTTCTGACTATAATTTACTTGCGTAAACAGTTCTTTGATAATCCCAGGGACTTGTCACATTATTACTGTTCATGTGCCAATTTTGAAGGTGGTACTTTTCTAGTGAGACATCAGTTTGTTTGTTGAGGAAGCAATTGATTCAATGTAGTTTTATCTGGGAAAAATACCTGTATCTTTCCATAATTGCAGGTATAGAAAGTAGAATATTTTTCCATTTTCCTGTATACTGCATTAATCTGTTTCACTCACTCTTTCTAACCTTGCAGATGCTTTTCTTGGATTATTCTTCTGTAGAAGGCAAGCTCAATTTATTCCGAAGGAATCTTTGCACAACCAAGCAGCTGCGGTGGGATGAAAGTTGGGAGCAGACAGTGCTTCCTCTTTTTAGCAGCAGTTAAGCTGATACGACTTCGAAGTTAATTTATAACTTGCACATTCTCAAAAACTGGAACACCACAAGCATGTTTGTATATCAAAAATTCTTTTTACAAAAGAAAAAGTCATTTTATATGGTGAATAAAAAGTTTTATCTGGAGCTTCATTATAGGCTTATGCAATTTTCCCACCTTTTTCTCTTAATTTCTATGCTGTGGACAGAGCCAATGTTGTTTTGTATCTACTTACTGCTTCACTGTTGTTTTTTAAATGCAGTTACGAAGTAGGTTGTGGTGCCTTTGGTTATTGTTGCCTAAGTTGCAAGCTGGTAATTCCCTATTTGAAGTGGAAACATGTTACTGTGACTCTTGAAAAGTACCTATATAACATCTTCACGTTCAAAGGAGATATCATACTGTGATGTGTGTTATGTGTTTCCTACCTCACTTTATAACTGGTATTTGAACATGAAATGGAGAATTTTACCCAGAACATGCAAGGTCTGAAACCTTAAACTCCAAGGTCTATGTTGTGTTACAAGTACATTTAGCATTTTCCTCCTCCCTCTGAAAAGGGGTCATGCTGGCATTTGGATTTCATGTTTTAAACAATGCCTTGAGTGTTCAATCATATTTCATTTTGGGATCTCTTTGTTCAGGGTAGACATTTGTATTGCAAGCAAAAGGACCAAACAGGCTTGGCTGATGAAATAGTAGGACTTGGAGATCTTGGCTCAAGGTGGAAAGAAGCTTTGCCTCTGTTCAAGCTTTGCCTCGTTTAAACCTTGGCCATTTTGCTTCGTCCTAAGACTCTCATCAAGGCTTCTTTGACATCTTTATTGCGCAGGCTGTATATGATCGGGTTTATCATGGGGTTGATGATAGTATAGAAGACCGAGATGGCCTTGTCCTCTTCTGGCGTGCGCTGCCCCTTCGACCTCATATACATGAGCATGGCAGTCGTGTAGAAGATAGTCACCACTGTCAGGTGCGCTGAGCAGGTGGAGAAAGCTTTCTGCCTGCTGTCGGCAGAGGCGAGTCGCAGTATGGCAATAATGATGCGTACGTAAGAGAGTACGATCAAGAGAAAGGGGATGATCTCCGTCGCTATGCCCCCCATGTACATTGCACTCTCGCTCACAGAGGTGTCAGCGCACACCAGCTGAAGCATGGCTGGGACTTCGCAGAAATAGTGGTCAATGACATTGGAGCCGCAGAGAGGGAGCTTGAGGACGAAGAGTGGAACCACTGACCCCAGGAAGGTGCTGAGCCAAGACCCAGCAGCCATGCCAATACAAACCGATTTGTTCATTAGAACAGAGTAGCGCAACGGGTGGCAGATGGCGACGTACCGGTCGATCGCCATCACGGCAAGGAAGATGCATTCTGCCGCCCCTAGGAACAGCGTGATATACATCTGAGCCTCACACAACTCGGCTGAGATGGACTTCCTTGTCACCAAGAAGTTCATGAGCATTTTGGGGACAACGGCCGAAGTGCAAATGATATTCAAGACTGCCAGGTTGCAGAGGAAGAAGTACATGGGCATTTGAAGGTGGGGATCCAGGCTGGTCAAAGTGATTACAGCAATATTTCCAATCAGAGTTACGGTGTAGATCACAAGGAATATAATGAAGAGGAAGACTTGGGCCAGTGGGGAGAAAGGGAACCCCAAGAGAACAAATTCTGTGATGACGGTTATGTTTTTCATTTCTATACTTTTCTGTAGGAAGAACAATAGTGGTTTAGTGGTCAAAAGTGCAAGAACTCATCTTGACAGCCCCTATAAGCTATGCCCATGAAGAGAGTCTACACACACTTGCATCCCATAGCAGCAATACATAGCATAATACCCAGTTGATTAGGATTGGCACATCTGCAGTCCAATGCAAAGATACCTAGTAGTCATTTCCGTCAATCTCATTTCTGACTTCTCAAAACGCATTGCGATCTTAACCCTGCTGAAATGCCATCTTCAGCTTTCAATTAGAAATGGAAACTATTGTTGCAACTAAGTGCCTGCATTTAAACTGCTGTCAATGGGAAAAAGAAATAGAGAACCATACCACTTTATTTTCCTCATTCTCTGACTACCTCTCTGAGTTAAATCTGTTGCCCTTCAGATGTTGCTGAATTACTGTTTCCATCCTCCCTGACCACTGGCCAGGCTGGCTGGGACTGATGGGAGTCACGAGTCCAACAACACCTAGGGGGCCACAAGTTGCCACAACCTGCCCTACATGCTGTGACAGACCAGCCAACGCACTTCTGTTTCTTTCAACTGGGTTTGCTCCCCCTGCTGTTTGAGATCCCTTTTAACAGGAGATGGTTGAGACTGTACCTGTGACCTTCTGTCTCAGAGCTCTGTAGCTCCCTGTTATGCCAAGATGGGATGCATCATTTAACTTCCACCGACAATAGATTGCAGAACTGTTTTGTCCCCCAATCGCTCACCTTTTTAATTTGTTTTAAAATAAATGTGTTTCTTATATTTTTTTAAAAAACCTCTTGTCTCTGTGCTGCTTTGGGAAACTGAAGTCGGTGTAAGGTAGCTGATTGGGATGTGGGGACCACCACGTGCACAAATCTAACTAGAGGAGCCTTGGAGGCTTTTCAACACAAGTAACTGCCTTATGGCAAGCATGAGCCTTGGCCCACTGATGTGTAGCACCTCTCCACAATTTCACACTGGGCTATTCCTCAGCCCTTTTTGGAAGCACTAGAGATTGAATTTTCATGCAGAACATGTTCTCTACCACAGAGTTGCAGCCCTCTTGAGTGCTGCTTCCACCACCGTTACTAATATATCCTGCTTAATGCCAAAATAGGATTTTAAGTGGTTCATGAAGTAGAAAAACCAAGTTACACAATTAAAATGTACAATAAGACAGCACATATCAGTTAACAACAAGGCACTCGGTTTGAGAAATAAACATAATGCCTGTGTAAACAGGCAAGTTGTCAAAAGCCGGTGGAATGCCAGTAGAGATGGGGGTCTTTTGTATTGATGGCAGGGAGTGCTTTTCCTAACACTGGAGATATTAGTGAAAAAAAGCCTGCTACTATGTTGCCACAGGCCAATAAATGTCAAGCTATGGCAATGGTACCAGCTGAAGACCTCTTTCATTTGCCTCAGTCTGTCATGATATTTAGACTTATTAGATCCAAGGATGCAAGTTTTCTAGAAAATTTTAAATTAGAACACTTTCCCCCAAAAATTATTTCGCATAGGGTAATTTGCACTGAAAAATCTTCCACCTGCATCAGAAAATGTTCTTTTTAAAAAAAATAATCAATTTTATTAAAGGTTTTCAACCTAATATACCATAAATTTCCAACTAAACTAAAAAGAATAATAACAAATATATCAAACAGAAATAAAGGGGGAAAATTAAAATACATTAATAAATCTCACATGATCCTCATAAGACTCTCATACAGGCCCCTTCCTTTTCTCTCAGTTCCCTGCATAAGAATATGTTCTGCCAACCTTGCCTACAAGTGTATTTGCAATTGGCATCTATTCAGTGCTGCTAATGAACTTACAAAACACATAATTTTTAAAAGGAAGGGGAAAAAGCAATGGGGGTTTTCTTGCTGCAGTTCACTGCTTTGATCAGGGCTAATTAACTCCTAACAGCCCCAATGGGGTAAAGAATGATGAGAGTTGTAGTCCAATAACACGTGCAGGGCACTATGTTGACTACCCCTGGCTTAAATAGTAGCCTTCTGTCTTTTTTTATGCTGAGTGGAGTATTGTGTTTTAATTTGCCTGATTATTATTTAAATATTGCTGTTATGGGTAGCTAACATGCAGTTCTCCAGATGTCTTCCACCTTCAGCCTTTTAACAGGATCCACTGGAAAGAAACAACCAAAGAAAGGTGGTTCCAGGTAGAAAAGCACAATTAGCTCTTTCCTCCCATCCACTACTTCAGATTGCATTCAATCCTTGCTTCGTAGGGACACACGCTCCCATGTTTGGTCCTGCCAGTGTTTTAGCTTGTTGCATCCGAGGAAGCTACTTTATACCTAGTCGGATCATTGGTCTGTTTGGCTCAGGATTGTCTGCCCTGAATGGCAGCAGTTCTCCTGGTTTTGAGATGGAGGCTTTCCCAGCTCCACCTTATTAGTAGCTGCATGTATGACTATTGCCACTTTTTGGAAGGATCTTAAAGAAGCTAATTTAACAGCATGGTATAAAAGGGTTTAGCAGATGGCCGTAGCAGAGAAACTAGCATGTAAGCTAAGAATAGCTAGAGGAAATAAATGCAGCTACATGCTTGGGAGAGTCGGCGGAGGCTTGATTGCTTATGCAAAAAATTCCAACAATAGAAGGAAAGTCATAGCATCATAGAGTTGGAAGAGACTCTGAGGTTCATCTAGTCCAACCTCTGGAATGCAGGAATCTCAACTAGATCATCCATGTCTACCACCTCTTATGGGAGATTTCCACGATCAAACAGCTCTTGCTGTCAGGAAGTTCTTTCTGATGTTTAGTTGGAACCTCTTTTCTTGGAACTTGAATCCATTGGTTCGAGTTCTACCCTCCAGAGCAAGTAAAAACAAGCTTGCCCCATCCTCCATGTGACAGCCCTTGAGATATTTGAAGATGGCTATCGTATTTCATCTCAATCTTGTCTTTTCCAGGCTGAACATACCCAACTCCCTCAATCGTTCATCATAAGGCTTGCTTTCAATACCCTTGATCATCTTGGTTGTCCTCTTCTGCACACGTCCCAGCTTGTCAACATCCCTCTTAAATTGTGGCACCCAGAGCTGGACACAGTACTTCAGGTGTAGTTTGACCAAGGCAGAATAGAGTGGCACTATTACTTCCCTTGATCGGGACACTACCTCTGTTGATGCAGCCTAGAATAGTATTAGCATTTTCTGCTTCTGCTGCTGCATCACACAGAGTTGACTCATGACTTTGTGGTCTACTAAGACCCCTAGATCCTTTTCACGTGTACTATTAGCAACCCAGGTGCCCCTCATCTTATATTTATGCAACTGGTACTTCTTGCCTAAGTGCAGAACTCTACATTTGTCCCTTTGAAATTCATTATGTTAGTTTGCGCCCAGTTCTCCAATCTGTTAAAGTCATTTTGAGTCCTGATTCTGTCTTCAGTGGCATTAGCTACCCTCCCAGTTTGGTATCACCTGCAAATCTGATGAGCATCCCCTCAACACCTTCATCTAAGTCATTGATAAAGATGTTGAACAACAATGGGCCCAGGAGAGAATCCTGCGGCAGAATCCTACTTTGTCACTTTTTTCCAGGACGATGAAGAACCATTAACAAGCACTTAATGGATTTGGTCAGCCAGCCAGCTACAAATCCATCTAACAGTTACCTCACCCAGACCACATTTTATGAGCTTCTCTGCAAGAATATCATGGGGGACTTTGTCAAAAACCATACTGAAATCAATATACACTATGTCAAAAGACTGGCTGATATATAAATTTGTTAAACGTTTTCTCTTTTTATTACTTTAAATACTGCATCTCTGCAGTATTTACTTGAACACTTTCTGTGGGGTCTGCACATAGAAGCTTCTTAGTTTTGTTGTTTTTTGTTTTTGTACAGTTGGTCATGGTTTAGATTTTGTAATGTCGTTTTTCTCTTTTGTAAAATCTTTGATCAGTTATGCTTGTTAAGCAACTTTGTAAAAAAGGAACTGAGAGTGAAAGGGCAAATACCCTATGGCAATCAGTATCCTCAAGCTATTTCCCACCCCAGGCCTGACCCTCTTTAGCTACTGAGATTAGTTAACATGTCACATCTTCAGGGTAGCATAGCTGTAGGTCGTTCTACCAAACTGGATCACCCTGGGTTCTAGTGTTTTGAAAGAGAGAGAAAAATGACTTGTTACCTGCTTTCTCCACAACCATGCATCATTTTATACACCTTGATCATACCTCTCCCTTAATTAAAGAATGTTAGAGTGATGATGGATTGAAATTAAGTGGCTTCTAGCTGTACAGGTTTTAAAGTTTATATAGATCAAGATTAAGGATTAGGATTAAAAAGGTTAAAAGAATGGAAAATTGGTTTTTAATAGGTAAAATATTTAATGTTATATTATATTAAGATTAAGGATTGGGATTGAAAAGGAGGGAAAGAAATTGCTGGATTAACAACCGGAATTGGAATACAAAAGAGGGAGGTATGAGGAAGTCCAGGAAACAAGTAAATGTAAAAGAAGTTATGAAAAGACGGAATTGTTTTTAACTGTTTTTTTTCCTTTTTTATCTTTTTGTATTTTGTATTTTCTATTGTGTATTTTTCTTTTTTCTTTTTAAATTTCTCTTGTTTATTAATGTGATTTTATTTTTTCTGAAACGTTAATAAATATTAATAATAATAATAATAAAAGATCATACCTCTCCCTTAACTCAACTTTTTCCAAAGTGGAACATTGTATTGTATAATAATTTATTGTAGAATAATTCTTCTAGTCCCCTGATCATTTTGGTTGCCCCTTTCAGCACCTTTTGAGCCTTTCTCCTTTCTTTTCTTTTGGTGCAGTGACCACAACTGTGCACACAATTCCAGCTGAGATCTTGTGGTATTCATATAGACATTATTGCAATGTTACACTAGCAATTGCAGTCAGCATAATGGAACAGGAATCAGGGTGGTTTTTTTTGTCTCCCCTTCTGTCCCGTCCCCGTCCCCCCCATTTACCTGAAGGAATGGCTTTTTATGTCATCATCACATTCTCAGCACGGAGTCTGTATGCAGAAGCAGTTTCTCTTTTTCCTCTTGTAGACCTCCCTACTTCTGAACCTCAGAATCACGGGGAAGTGTCAGCCATATAAGACTGATGAAGCAAAACTTCCCTCTTGCTTAAGATGCTGTTGGACTCTCATGGTGTTCTGAAAGAAACAGTGGATTCAAACCATTTCCTCTCCCCAAATCTAATACCAATCATGGGGAGAACTTCTTGGTGTTTTTCACCAAGAGAGGGGGAGAGAGAGACTCTGGAGGAAACATATTTTCTAAAGGACCTTTGAAATAGGCTAACTCTTTGGGGATACAGGGCTCGCAAACTCAACTGTGCAATTAAACTAGATTAGCACATAGTTAGATACGCAGGTATTTTGCATGCCCATCCAGATGCATCTATCACAGTTAAGTAGAAAAATCAATGTTGTATCTAATTGCATAGAATAATAGAATTGTGTTGGAAGGGATCCTGAGGATCATCTAGATCAACTCCCTGCAATGCAGGACTTTGCAGCTGTACCATATGGGGATCAAACCTGCAACCTTGGCGTTATCAGCACTGCGCTCTAACCAACTGAGCTATCCAGGCTGTCCATATTGAAATGTAGTGCTCATCCACCCAGTTGTTTAACATGGATAGAAAGTTTCCTGCACCTCCATTAATTCTCTGTTGCCCATATGATGTTCTCCACCAAATAATAGAATCATAGATCTTCCCACTCTCTCCCCTCCCACAGTCTGGATTTTCTCATACCAGGGATAGTCCAGA